CCCTTCACGTTGTAGCGACGGCGCAGCTTCCCCATAGCGCCTCCGCCACGCGCTCGTCTTCCCTCACAGAGACTCACTGGGAACCAGAAGCAAGGCGCGAGACTTCCGGGTTACGCACGCGCAGGAGCCGAAACTCAGCCGCTGGGGGGCGGAGCTGGAAGCCCGACTGGCCGGAAAGGGAGACTATACAGGAAGAGGCGGAGCGCAGTCTGGCTATGAGCGCGGCCTATGTAAATAAGGGGGCGGGTCTAGACGTGCTTAAAGCGTCTGAGGGTCTAACTAAGCTGTTCTCCTATGTGCAATCTGAGGATTTTTGTTTTGCATAATATTGATTTGGGGTTGAAGAGACGGATTAGCCATTAAGAGTAGTGGCTGGCCCGGCATTGGTGGCGCACTTGGGAGGCAGAGGCAGGTGTATTTCTGTGGGTTCGAGGCCAGCCTGCTCTACAGAGCGAGTTCCAGGACAGGCTCCAAAACAACACAGAGAAATTCTGTCTTGAAAAAAACAAAACAAAAAAGTGGTTGTTTTTGCAGAGAACCGAGGCTCGACTCTCAGCTCCCAGAAGGCAGTTCGCAACCACCTGTAACTCTAGTTGTAGGTAACCCGCCATCATCTTCTGGCCTCCGTGGGAACGGCTCTAATGTGCATACACAAACACTCAAACATGTAAAAATGTGGGAGCACGTGCCTTTAATCACGGCCAGCACTCAGAAGGCAGAGGTAATCAGATCTCTGTGAGTTCAAGACCACCCTGGTCTACATAGAGAGCTACACAGTGAAACCTTGTCTCTAAATGGGGAGGGGAGACTAGAGAGGTTGGCTCAGGGGTTAAGAGCATTTGTTGCTCTTGCAGAGAGCCTGGTTTCAGTCCGAGCACCCACGTAGTGGTTCACAACCATTCCTAACTCCAGCGACCTCTTCTAAAAGGGTACTAGATACACACAGGGTACACATGCATGGCATGTAAGCAAAGCACTCGTGCATGAATAAATAAAAATAAATCTTTAGTATTAATTTGACTAAATATGAAAAATATAGCTCTGTCCTTAGTTCAAACATCTCTCTTCTTGTTTTGCTCATTTGTGTTTTCTGGTCTCCCCTTGGGTGAGGTGTATTAATTCCACAGGAAAAAAAAGTATAAAATATTTCCATGGCAAGAACAAAAGATGTAAAAAGGCATTTCATTTAGTTATTTATATGTTTGGCTTTTTTGTTTGTTTGTTTGTTTTGAGACAGAGTTTTCCCATAGCTTTGGAGCCTGTCCTGGAACTCACTCTGTAGACTAGGTTGGCCTCGAACTCAGAGAGATCCGCCTGCCTCTGCCTCCTGAGTGCTGGGATTAAAGGCGTGCGCCACCACTACCTGGCTAGAAGGCATTTTATTAAATGGTTTGAAACTCGTGCTGTCACTCTGTCTGAGGTGTACTCGGAAGCGTTTTTCTCAACCCTGCCATTACCTTGCAAGAAGAATAGTTCTATTGTACCACACCTTTTCTGTTTAAGAAGTGCTTTGAATGGTGGGCGGAGGCACACTGAAATCACTCTTGGCAGGGAAGCAGAAAGATAAGGCTAAATTCAAAGCTGGCCTTGTCTATAGAGTAAACTAAAGGGCAGTCTGGCTTACCTGAGATCCTAGCTCAAAAAAGAAGTGGGGGAGGGAGGAAAGGTCAAAAAGGGAGAAATGAGGCCGAGTTTGGGTTGCATAGCAAAGCCCTGTCTTTGAAAAAAAAATTACGGAGTCTGAGGACACCCACAGTTTAGTGCACATAGCCACACACTGATATACACATAATTAAAAATAAATCTTGCTGGGCATGGGGCTGTATGCTTCGAACTCCAGCACTTCAAGGAGGGGTGTGGAGGCAGGTGAGCAGTCTCTGTGACTTTGAGGCCAGCCTGGTCTGAGATGGCTTGGCAGGTAAAGATAATTGGCTGCTAATGCTGACCATCTAAGTTCAATCATGGATCACACACACACAAAATTTAACTTAATTTTTTAAGTGTTTTTTTAATTTATTTATTGTGTATAAATACAGCCAGCAGAGGGCACCAGATCTCATTCAAGGTGGTTATGAGCCACCATGTGATTGCTGGGAATTGAACTCAGGACCTCTGGAAGAACAGTCAGCGCTCTTAACCGCTGAGACATCTCTCCAGCCACTTAATTTTTTTTTTTTGAGACAGGGTTTCTCTGTGTAGCCCTGGCTATCCTGACACTCACTAGGTAGACCAGGCTGACCTAGAACTCACACTCACACTGCTTCTGTCTTCTGAGTGCTGAGATTAAAAATATTCACTGCTTTAGCACATAAGAGGACACTCCACAAAGCCTGATAACCTGAGATCCATCCCCAGAAACCACTTGGTAGATGGAGAGAACTGACTCCCTAAAATTGTCCTCCATAGGCAAACAGTGCCACACACAAAGTGTGGCACACACACACACACATACACACAAATAGATAAATGCAATAAGATAGCATGTAAATAACAAACATCCAGAAGAAACAGAGAGCATCCTAGACACTAAGAAGAGAGAGCCACACACAGCAACATGGGGGTATTTCATAAGAATGAACAGGAGAGGGGTCCAGAGAGATGGCTCACCAGTTAAGAACCCACACTGCAGGGCATTGGTGGCGCATGCCTTTAACCTCAGCACTCAGGAGGCAGAGGTGGGAGAATCTCTGTGAGTTCAAGACCGGCCTGGTCTACAAGAGCTAGTTCCAGGACAGCCACCAAAGCCACAGAGAAACCCTGTCTTAAAAAACAAAACAAAACAAAAAAAGCCGGGTGGTGGTGGCACATGCCTTTAATCCCAGCACTCGGGAGGCAGAGGCAGGCGGATCTCTATGAGTTGGAGACCAAGCCTGGTCTACCAAGCAAGTTCCAGGACAGCCTCCAAAACAATACAGAGAAACCCTGTCTTGAAAAACCAAAAAAAAAATGTATATATATATATATATATATATATATATATATATATATACATATAAAATAAGAACCCAGATTGCTTTTGCAGAAGACCAGAGTTCAGTTTCTAGAACCTATAGTGGGTGGATCATAGCTGCCTGAAATTCTTGCTTCAGGGATTCCTGCACCTCAGGCCTGCAGTTGAGTGCACATACCCACACAGATATACACATAATTAACAGAAAAGGTCTTGCTGGGAAGTGCAAACTCCAGCACTTCCAAGGATAGGGTGTAGAAGCAGGTGGATGGTCTCTGTGAGTTTGAGGCCAGCCTGGTCTACAGAGTGAGTTCCAGGGCGGCCCAGGCTACACCGACAGACTTTGTCTAAACACACACACACACACACACACACACACACACACAGAAATCAAATCCCCAATAATATTTGAAACTTCTACAAAACAGAAGAATAGAATGCAAAAGTAATTTTTAATTTTTCTTTAGTGTAAGTATCGGGGTTTGAACTCAGGTTTTCACGCTTGTACGGTAAGAGTTCTCATTTACCAAGCCATCTCAGCTTTGGTTTCCCCTTTTTGTGGTGCTGAGGATGGTCCAGGGCCTTTGGCATTTGCTCAGACTATGCTCCCCACTGTGCTGTGCCCGGCCCCAGTGTTTTCTCTTTGGACTGGATCAAGGTTTATTTTTCTGGTTGTCTCAAACTTGTCTAGCTAGACCTGGTTTGATTTAAGTTGTGGAGGAAAGAGGTAAGCCAATCATGGAGTCTATGAAATAAATTGAGGATATACAGGTCCCAGCAGGAAAAAAAAATGGCCTGTATAATACGACCACAAGATAAGACAGAAGAAGGGCCAGGCTAAACAGGGTGGAGGGTGATCTTTGCAAGACGGAGAAGAGCGTTAGGACGAAGGTTGTCTTCGTGTAGATAAAGCTCCTAAGATAGTGAAAGTCTTGGGAGGATTTGTCAGCATAGGGGCTGGACTGTGGCAAAGTCCCTGGGAGATTTCAGGGAATCCGCAAGCCCTAGATAAGACCCTCAGAGGAAGCCCCTTCCTGCCTGCCAAGTACCATAATCCCCTCTGTGGGAGGGGAGCAATCGGCTGCATAGGCTGGGGTAGCATTTCCTGGATTTTATTAATTTAATTTTTGTGGCTCTAGAGATTGGACATAGGGCCCTTCCACACACTAGGCGAGTAAGTGTCCTGCAACTAGGCTATATCTCCAGTCCCTTAAAACAGAGATTTTTTTTTTCGAGACAGGGTTTCTCTGTATTGTTTTTGGAGGCTGTCCTGGAACTCGCTTGGTAGACCAGGCTGGCCTCGAACTCACAGAGATCCGCCTGCCTCTGCCTCCCGAGTGCTGGGATTAAAGGCGTGCGCCACCAACGTCCGGTGTAGCCTGGCTCTTAAATCTTTCAAACTCATAGTCCTCTGGTTCTCTTGTCTGCCATGTCAGGTGGTTCATATGTAAGAAGCCCAGTTGCTTTTCCTGTAAGAAGCCCTGAATTTTGGGTTGTAAATTCCTCTCATCCTTACACCTCCAGTGGTAAGTTTGAACTCTTAGGTCTTTGCGCCCTTAAGTCCCTCTAGGTGGCGCGGGTACTTCCTGACACCAGAATTTATTGGCGGGACCAACTTCTAGACACCCTCCCCCACCCAACCTCTGTTGACTTGAGAGCTAAGGAACACCCGGTGATCCCATCAAATCCTTCCTAAAGGGCTGCACAATACCAGACCACTTCTCCCGTTCCCTCCTCGCACATCATCAACTCGCCTTTCCTATTCCATCACCAGCTTCCCCTCTCCAACTACTTCATAGCTCGGGGATGCCATCCGTGCAGGAGGGGCCTGAGAGCTAATGAACGCGTGCTCCACACGGCCTGCTTTTGGGGTGGAAGTGACACACATCTGCCCTTCGATTTCCCAATCGCTTGCAAGGGCCCAGCCCAGGAAGGAGCCTTTGCGAGCCCCGCCTGCGTTCCAGGGGTACCGGGCTGGTGGTGGTGGTGGGGCGGCGCTGCGGGAGGGAGGCGGGGCTTCGTGCGCGGGGCGGGGCGGGGCGGTAAGGCGGGGCGGGGCGACGGCGCGCCCACGCGGTGCGGCCCGGAGCCCTCGGTGGCCGTGCGCTCCGCCCTCTTTCCCCCTTATCCCCCTAGACCCTCTTCCCGTGGCCGAGCATGGGCGCGCGGGCGTCCCGGGAGCCCCTGGCCCGTGGCGGCCTGCGGCTGCTGCTGCTCTTTCTGCTCCTGGCGGTGCTCCTGCTGGCGCTGGTGGCCCCCGGCGCGCAGGGGGCTCGGGGCCGCGGGACTGCGGACAAGAACAGCCACCGGCGCGCGGCCAGCACCTTCTCTCAGAGCGTGAGCAGCCTTTTCGGAGAGGACAACGTGCGCGCGGCTCAGAAGGTGGGCGGCGCGCGCGCGGTCACCTTGCGAGGCCGGGAGACCGTTGGGGGAGGGGGTGGGCACGCGGGCTGGGGACGGTCGCGGCCTGCTGCAGCCCGGGTCAAGCGCAGCCCCCGGGAGCCCGTGACGCCCGCCCGCGCGCAGACCCGCCGCGTCTCAATGGTCTCCCACTGTGAGCCAGGCATTGAGGACGCCCAGGTCCCCGCGAGGCCTGGCCTCGAGGGCCTCCTGCCTCCCGCCTCGGAGATATGTGGGCCAAGTTCTCCTTTCCTGGGAGCGATGGGGTCTGAGCTATTGCTTTGGCAACCTGAGCGCCTACTGTGTGTTTGGGGGTGGCGGGCCGCGGTGGGGGGCACCTCTCGGTTGGAGCCTTTGATACAGCTTGAACACTTGGGGTCTCTGGGACTGGGATGAGCCCCTCCACCTAGGAGCTCTCCACCCTCTGACCGTGGCACCATGCTGAGAAAAGAGAAGTCGAGATGCACGCGTTCTTTTTCTTGCCGTACCCGCGTTTCCTTCCTGGTCTCTGGCCCTGGGGTTGTGGAGTCCAGAGAACTTTGGGTCCAAGTTGGGGCGCTCCCTCTTTCCCAGCGGATGAAGTTAGGCCAGTGGCTTCACTTGGTGTGTCTGAGTGGAGTCCAGAGGTCGGCCTCAGGTATTCAACCTCAGGAACCATCCACCTTTGTGTTTTGAGACAAGTTCTAATTGCCCTGAAGTTTGAAGATTAGGCCAGGCTGGCCAGTGGGTCACTAGAATCTTCTGGCTTCCACCTCCCCAGCACCAGGATTACAAGCGTTCTTGGCACTCAATCCAGGTCTTCCACTATATAGACCAGGCTGGACTTAAAATTCATAGAGCTCTGCCTACCTTTGCCTCTTGACCCCAGGTCCTCAGGCTTGCACAGGAAGAAGACTCTTGTCACCTGAGCCATCTCCACAGCCCCAGTGACTTCACTTTTAAATACTTTTAACTATGTTTGTTGGTCGATTGTGTGCGTGCACATGTGCATGTGGAAGTCAGACGACAGCTTTAAGACATCCGTTCTCTGCTTCTACCATGTGGGCCATGAGAATCCATATCTGGTCACAGGCCTGTTGGCAACCATCTTTACATTTACTCTCAGGTTTCCCTTCTTTAAACCTTGGTTTCTTTGTTAAGCGGGGATGGGAACATTAGCTCCTTTGATTAGGAATTCAAATTGACTTGACTTTCTTTTTCTTTCTTTCTTTCTTTTTTTTTTTTTTTGAGACGGGGTCTCTTGTTTGTAGTCTTGGAACTCTCTACGTAGACCAGGCCAGCCTCTAACTCACAAGAGATCCACCTGCCTCTGCTTCCTGAGTGCTGAGATTAAAGGTGTGTGCAGCCAAGCCTGGTTGTATTTTTACTTTTAATTATGTGTTTTCATATGGCTGTGTGTGGCTATACACATGGAACTGGAGTTACAGGCAGTTGTGAGCTGTTTGACGTGTGTGCTGGGAACCAAACTTGGGTCCTTGGTAACAGCAGCATGAATTTTTAACTGCTGCGCCATCTTTCCCGCCTCCTTTTGGTTGTTTTGAAAATGGTTACTACAAATATTCATGTACCAGCTGCTTAATAGTTCCTATATATCAGTGTTTTTGGATGCTGGGGACTGAACTCATAACCTTGTGCATGCTAAGCACTTAGGCTACTCTCAGTCCTTAATAACTTCCAAATGAATGAAGGAGTTATTATTCCTATTAGAACAAGTACTTTCATACGTAAATATTTCCCACCAATGACAAGCGAGTATTCAGTATGTACAATCCAGTCACATCTAACTCCCCAGATTCTTTCTTCTGCCCAAATGAGGTAGAAATGTGGTCAAGACTACACAGCCCCAGGCCCCAGAGCTGCAGAGGCCCAGTGGCAATTCAAACCCTTATCATCATGCATACGGCTTATTTCATACAAAGTATGATTAGAATGTAGAGTACCTTTTTTTTTTTTTAAACTGGGTCTCACTATGTAGCCTTGGCTGGCCTGGAAGCTCACTATCTAGACCAGGCTGGCCTCAAATTCATAGAGCTGCTCTGCCTGTCTTTGCCTCTGGAGTGCTGGGTTTAAAGATGAGGGTCATCGTGCCTGGGAAACAAACTTTTTAAAAGCCTCCTACCCAGAAGGTATGTGTGATGCTAATTAGTAAACCCAGGCCTGTTAAACTACACGGCAGACCTTTCCTCTAGTAAAAATTAACTGAGGGCCGAGACAGTGGTTGGCTCAGTATGTAAAGGTGAAAATGTGCTCGCAGGTGAGCCTGATGTCTTGAGTTCCTCCCTTCCCCCAGCAGCCAACAAGTGTGCTTGCTGCCAAGCCTGATGCCCGGCGTTCACCCACATGGCGGGAGGCAAGTTGTCCTTTGACTTCCATACATGAACCATAGCACATGCATGCATGTACATAAATAATTTTTATAAGCCACCCCATGATCTGATAGAATTTTGTTTCCTTAAAAAATTAACCTATCAGCCGGGCGTTGGTGGCGAACGCCTTTAATCCCAGCACTCAGGAGGCAGAGGCAGGTGGATCTCTGTGAGTTCGAGGCCGGGCTCGACCGGCAGCCTCAAAAACAATACAAAGAAACCCTGTCTCGTAAAACCAAAAAAAAAAAAAAAAAATTAACCTATCGGCACTCGAGAGATGGTTCAGCAGTTAAGAACACTGGTTGCTCTTCCAGAGGTCCAGGGTTCAATCCTCAGAAACCATGTGGTGGCTCACAGCCGTCTGTAATGATATCTGGTGCCCTCTTCTGGCTTGTGTCGTGCAGGCATACATGCAGGCAGAACACTATGCATAATAAATAAACCCTTGAGAAACAAAAACAAAAAAAATTGATCCATCGTTTCATTAAATCAAAGCATCCAGTCAGGGGTTAGGGAGGTAACCTAAGTCTAACAATGGCTGTTCTTTCTGAGGACCTAAGTTCCATTCAGTAGTTGGTAATTTTAGTTCCAGATGATCTGACACTCTCTTCTGGGCTCCATGGACGTTGCACTCACGTACACACACTTTAAATAAGTAGAGACAAGTCTTAACTGCTGGGGATTACCTGGGTTATTTCCTCCACCACTCTGAGATCTTACTCTCCACTCATCTTTGTCTTCACTGCCCATAAAAGCCCCGCTCCTTGTACAGCACATGTAGTATACCGTGTAAGGTTTCTGTTTCATTTTCTTTTCATTTTCGAGGAAGAGTCTTGTTGTCTAGTCAGTCTGCCCTTGGACTCTCTTCATCTTCCTCCTTCAGCCTCCAGAGGTGGGGTCACAGGTGTGGGCCAACATGCCCAGCCCTCCCCTCTTTTTAGTGTGTATGTGTGTGGGCACACAAGCTCATTTTCATACAGAGGAGGGGAAGGTTTTATTTGTTTGTTTGGTTTGGTTTTTGAGATAGGGCTTTTCTGTGTATCCCTGGCTGTCCTGGAACTCATTCTTACATCAGGCAGGCCTCAAGCTAGCCCCTTAACTTTTCCCCTAGTGTCCACAATCAAATACACATCAGTCCACGGTTCACCATTTTCACTCAGTTTGGTAGTGACAAGCATGTTCACAGGATTGCACATCCATTACCTCTGTCTAGCTGCAGACTGTCCCATCGCCCCCAAAGGAAACTCATCAACTAAGCCGTCAACTGTTGGCCTCCACTACAGCTAGGCACCAGCTAGTCTCTCTGTCTCTACAGATTTTCCTATTTGGGTTTTCGCATAAAGAGGATCAGACACTACTTAGCCTTGGTGGCTTGCTTTGTTGCTTTTAGGGGCTGCAGGCAGCACAGGCTGTGTGGTAGTGCGTCCCTCTAAATGTGACCAAAGCAGGAGCTTTCTGTGCAAACTTTTGTGTGCGCATAGACAGCTTCCTCTGTAGAAGTTGGAAGTGGATGTGGCGCATGGCAGGCAGGAGGAGCAGTAGTTCAAGGTCAGCTTCAGCTAGCTACGCAGTGAGTTGAGTCATCCTGGGCTACCTGACACCATGTATTGAAAAAGCAAAAGAGCCGGGTGATGGAGGTGCACACCTTTAATCCCAGCACTGGGGAGGCAAAGGCAGGAGGATCTGTGTGAGTTCAAGGTCTGAAGAGCTAGTTCTAGAACAGCCAGGTCTACTCTGTCTTGAAAAAAATTTTTTTTTGGTTTTTACGAGACAGGGTTTCTCTGTATTGTTTTGGGGGCTGTCAGTCCAGCCTGGCCTCGAACTCACAGAGATCCGCCTGCCTCTGCCTCCTGAGTGCTGGGATTAAAGGCGTGTGCCACCAGTACCCTACTGGTAAGCTATTCTTAATGTTCTGGAATATCTAGTAATTGTCTCAATTTTGATTGGTCCCTTGCAGGGTACAGTCTGGTTTTTCCTGGTTAGTGTAAGGGTGAGGCCTAGTCCCAGTATTGTTAGGCTGCACTGATGTCAAGTTAGACCTCTTCACACACACACATTTTCTGCATTTTTTTCACCATTTGAAGTAAAATAGCGATATTATGGTACCTTCTGCACAATCCACACACATCATCCCACCCAGGAAATATGTTTACCCTAGTAATATTTTACAATATTTAGGTGCTAGTTATATTTCTTTCTTTTTTTTTTTTTTTTTGTTTTGTTTTGTTTTTCGAGACAGGGTTTCTCTGTGGCTTTTGGAGGCTGTCCTGGAACTTGCTTGGTAGTCCAGGCTGGCCTCGAACTCACAGAGATCCGCCTGCCTCTGCCTCTCTAGTGCTGGGATTAAAGGCGTGTGCCACCAACGCCCTGCCAGCCAGTGCTCTTAACCACTGAGCTATTTCTCCAGCCCTGAGGGCTCATCTTTTTTTTTTTTTTTTTTTTTTGGTTTTTACGAGACAGGGTTTCTCTGTATTGTTCTGGAGGCTATCGGTCCAGCCTGGCCTCGAACTCACAGAGATCCGCCTGCCTCTGCCTCCCGAGTGCTGGAATTAAAGGCATGCGCCACCAACGCCTGGCCCTGAGGCCTCATCTTAAAAAAAAAAAAAGTGAAGCTGGCCATGGTGGATAGCCCCAGCACTGGATGGGTAGAGGCAGGAAGATGGGTGTTTGAAGGTTGTCCTTGAGAGGGTAAAGTTGTCCTCCATGAGTAAAGGTGCTTGCTGTGCCTGCCTGGCGACCTGAGTTCAATCCCCAGAACCCACAGGAAGGTGGAAGGGCAGAGCCCCACTCTACAAAGTTGTCTTATGCCCTCTTCCTGCATGCCCCTCCCCATAATAACGAGCAGTTTTTATTTGTATGGTTTATTTTCTTTCCACCTGTTTTGTTTGGCGGCAACACCTCATTTCCCGGAAGTCTGATCTACCTGTGTTGGCCTGGCACATACGCACCATGCCATATTGGTACCCTTACCCCCCCCCCAGAGTTCCGGAACTAACAGGTTTGGAGTCCTAATGTGAGACAGCTCTCTCACCTGGCATCTACTGGCTCTGCCTCTGGCTCTGGACTGTGTCGTCACTCACCAAGAACCCAGTACCCCGTCAGGTGGTTGGAACACGAGAATGCAATTCTTACTGCTTTGGGGCAGGGAATCTGAGGTCAAGATTGTGGTAGGCTGACTTGCCCTGCATCCCAGAATGGACCTGCAGGCTTCCTTGCCCTCTGTTCTGATGGCTGTCCTCTGTGTGTCTCTGATGTTAGCTCTTATTTTTTTTTTTCCGCTAGGCAAACATGCCACCACTGAGCTACACCCCTAACTTTATTTTGAGATAGATGGGGAGTGGGTCTCTCTGAGATGTCCTGGCTAGCCTTGGACTCATTCTTTAGCCCAAGACAGGCCTTGAACTTGGAATCTCCCTGCCTGTTTGGGTACACAGAGGTCCTATGCTCACAGATAGCATAGGAATGTTAAACACACAGGGCTGTCTTTTCAGGGGAAAAGATGTATAACCTGTTTTCCCTTCAGAGGGCTGAGAATGGAGGTACCTAATAGCCCAGGTGACTCCTGCACTATCTCTAGGGCCAGGCCGTATCTGGCTCCCCTCAAGCTTCTACAACCAGGACTAGAGGTGACTAGAAGTCTAGATGACCTCTGCGCTATCTATATGACCAGGGGTTCCCCCAGGCTCTCACAAAGAGGACTGGAGGTGGTTGATAGCCCAGGTGACTTCTGTGCTCTCTGTATGATGGAGTCCACACCAGGTCCTCCCTTGGCCCTAAGATGACACATGTAGCCTATCTCAAGAGTACATCTTATCTTGAGAGTTTCGATGTAATTATGCCTCCTTGTGAACATGGGATTGTGTTACACCAGGAAACATTTTTCCAAATTGTGCTGTGCTTAAGTGTACCTAAAATAAACTGCCTGGTGTCAGTTTGAATCAACACTGACTACTGAGTCATGTTGAACCAGATTTCCTCCTTGCCTCATTCAGATCATTACTCTGCTAGTCCTGGTGTTTGCATAAACAATCCCCACCCCCTCCCCTTGCATGCACACATCTGCCTCAGCCTCCTGAGTAGCTGGGATGACAAGCCTGTCCCAACAGACTTGGCCTACCTTAGTGGTCTCATTGTAGCCAAATTACCTCTTTAAAGACCCTGTCTTCAGATGTTCCCTCACTGGGGACTAGGAGTTTCACAGATTTAGGAGAACGCAGCTGAACACTATCATTTCCATCAAGTCTGTGGGTCTCCTTCCATGTCTAGCTTTGCTGGAGGGACCAGCATGTTCTCCAGCCGAGTGGCTGAAAGGGCTCAGCTGGGACCTGCCCTGGCATGTCCTCTCCCTTCTGATCTGAATTTGTCCTCCCAGGAGCCCCTCCTTGCCACCCCATCTGACTGGACAACTGCAGCAGCCCCTGAGTTTTTGCCACTTGGAGTAGGCCAGGTGACCTTATTAAAGTGTGTGTCCGTGGAACTGGAGTTACAGGCAGTTTTAAGCTGTTTTGTTTATGTGGTGCTGGAGTGTGAACTCAGGACATCATTATCCACTCACATTTCCAGTCCTGGTTTCAAGTTTTATGCTAGGTATATATAGTATCACTGTCCTATTTAGGGTTAATACTGTTGTGATGCGACACCACCATCAGAGCAACTTGGGAGAAAACATCCAACTTAGCTTAAACATCCAATGGTCATCATTGAAGGAAGTCAGGACAGGAACTCAAGCAGGACAGGTACCTGGAGGCAGGAGCTGATGCAAAAGACATGGAGGGGTGTTGTTTACTGGCTTAAAGGCTTGCTCCTCCCCATGACTTGCTCAGTGTGCTTTTTTTTTTTTTTTTTTTTTTTGAGACAGGGTTTCTCTGTGGCTTTGGAGGCTGTCCTGGAACTTGCTCTGTAGACCAGGCTGGCCTCGAACTCACAGAGATCCGGCTATAACCCAATCTTAAGGAGGCATTTTCTTCACTAAGGCTCCCTCCTCCCTGATGACACAAGCATGTGCCAAATTGACAGGCAACTAGCCAGCATGATCACTTATTCAAAAAGAAAATAAGGAAATCAGGCAATAAGTAGTACAATTTCCTGATTTCCTGGTCAGTTGGGTTTTCTGAATCTCCTAGAAAGCTAATGAAGTTCTTGAGGCCACAGACAGAGCATGAACCCTTGCTGCATGGTCTCAGATTTCAGAGTTGGTCTCTTGAAGAGTCAACAGCCCTGGGAAGCATATTGAGGGCAGAAACTCCCAGGCAGAGGAGGCAGATACAATGACCAAGAGCCACTCACCCACTCTCACCCTAATTGTTGATTCTGTATGTAGAGGAGGGGGCTCTCCATATTCTACATGGTGGTTGGCCAGATAGCAGCCCTTGTTCACTGCTTAGCTATAGACTGCACATGAGGCAGCTCCTAGTTTTTCTGTTGAGATGTCCTCTTCCAAGCTGACGCTTCAATGCTTGACTGGATTGGGAGTGACTGTCCCTCGATTTCTTACTGTCTTCTGGTCCCTGCAGTTACTGTCCAGGCTGACTGAGCGCTTCGTGCAGGGAGTGGACATGTTTATGGAGACATTATGGAAAGTTTGGATGGAGCTCTTGGAAGTCCTTGGACTTGACGGTAGGTATGGAGATGATCATGCAAGGTGTCGTATTGTGTGGTTTGTTTTGGAGTGCAGTCTCACTGTATAGTGAATCTCCATGCCCCCGGCTAAGGGTATGCGAGCATGTTGAGGGGATGGAGAGCCACAGGTATTACCTTTAATAGCTGAATGTGGGGTCCACGAAGCTTTGAAGGCTGTGAAGATGATGGAGGCATAGCCCGCAGTGATGATGATGATGCCATGGGCCATGGACCACCTGGATCCTCCAGAAGCCGAGAGAGGGCAGAAGGATGCTCCTAAGAGCTCCCATCCAGGTGCAGTCAGAGCTGTGTTTCAGTATATATCCAAAGACAAAGTCGATGGAGAGAAAAGCGAGTGGAGAACTCGGGGTACCACGCTTTGGGAGTGTGGTCTTAGACATGCACTTTTGGCCTCGAACTGGGAGAGAGGATGGATTTCACCATCTAATGATCATCAGCCACCTGGTGTATGGGAGTCGGTTGTGGTAGACCCAGAAAATGGATACTGCCTTGTAGCAGGCACTCTCAGCATCCTTATTAGTCCTGGACATCCCTTCTTTACAGATCTGGGACCAGGGTTCAGGGTGAAGCCACAGTGTTCAGGTGGGACCCACACGTCACTGCTGTTGTTAGTTCCCCACCGCTGAACTCACTTCCAGCCTTGGATCACTGAGTTTAACCTTCGGAAGGCCTCACATCATGCCGTGCCACCTTGCTGCTCAGATGGAGAACAGGAGGCTGAGACGTGGTTCTCCGAGGATACTGTGCAGCACACTGCCCCCAGGGCAGTTACAGCCCTCCCTGGGACTGAGCTGAGTCAACACATCACCAAACACTGCAACTGTATGCAATTAATCCTTCGAGACTGCCCCAGCCATCACCTACTGGGATTGTGCAATTCCAGGTTGCCATCCCTGGGCAGCGAGCCTGTAGAGATAAGCCTGATTGCAAGGAATTGCATGCAACCCAGGCTGGGAAACTGAGCTGGACAGCTACAGGACACCAGGCATCGTTGAGGAACCTAGGCCTGCCTTGATCAGCTGGGAGAAGCTGGTGGGGGAGGTGAAATACTTGTTTCTGGGGTGTAAGTTTCCCTCTTGGCTTTGATAAGCTGCAGGGCACCCTAAGACCTTGGGGAATTGTGCCTAAAGCTCAGTAGGAGAGTGACAGCTGCCTCTCCTGGAACCATAGCAAGGTGGTTGTTCTCAGTTCCCAACACTTCCTTCCACATCAATTTTCAGGGTCTTAGTTACAGTGAGCACTCCTCCACTCAAATCACTTTGATAGAAATAAGCTTTGATGGGCTGGAGAGATGGCTCAGAGGTTAAGAGCACTGACTGCTCTTCCAGAGGTCTTGAGTTCAATTCCCAGCAACCACATGGTGGCTGACAACCATCTACAATTCAATCTGGTGTATATGTAATAAATAAATAAATCTTTAAAAAAAAAAAGAAATAAGCTTTGAGGTATATAGAATTTTTCTACTGGTCATGTTACAGGGAAAAGAAATTGAAGGCTAGGCATGGTGGGGCACGCCTCTAATCCCAGCACTCGGGAGGCAGAGGCAGGCGGATCTTTGAGTTCTAGCCAGGGCTTTGCAGGGAACCCTGCCTTGAAAAGCCAAAGGTGGTGGTGGGGAGGAGACAGAGATTGATGAAATTTATCCTGGCGTGGTGGCTCATGCCTTTAATTCCAGTACCCAAGAGGCAAGCAGATCTCTGTGAGTTCAAGGCCAGCTTGGTCTACATGAGACCCCTGCCTCAAAGTTGGTGAAATCAATTTTACTGTTTTTGTTTTGCTATTATTTTTGGTTTTGTGGTTGATGTTTTTGAAGCAGGGTTCACCTGTATTCTTCACACTAGCCTCAAACTCACTGTGGTGGGCCAAGGATGACCTTGAACTTCTGATCCTCCTGCCTTAGCTTCCCAAGTACTGGGATGACAGATGTGAGCAGCCTGAGGAGATAGCTCATTACAAACACAAGGGTTTGAGTTCATGAGTTCAAACCACAGCATCATTTTTGTAAAACTATTTTTTGAGATATACTTATTTTGTGTGTGGGTGTTTTGTCTGCACGTATGTCTGTGTACCACATACTTGCAGTACCTGAGGATTTGTTCCTCGGGACTGAAGTTACAGGTGGTTGTGAACCACCCTCTGGTTGCTGGTATTTGACTTGGGCCCTCTGCCTCTGCACTGAGCTATCACCTGTCCAGCCTCACAAAAGATGTTTTAAACTCATGATGGGACAAACAGCCCTGAGGGGCCACCTGTGCTTCCTCTGCTGCTTTGGAGGCTCAAGTGCTTGCTGTTGCTGCTGTTCCTCTTCCTCTTCCTCTTCCTCTTCCTCTTCCTCCTCCTCCTCCTCCTCCTCCTCCTCCTCCTCCTCCTCCTCCTCCTCCTCCTCCTCCTCCTCCTCCTCCTCCACTGCTTGGCTTCAAGTGTTTGCTTTATTGACTTTCATTCTGTTGGATTGTGGCGGGAGCCCATGGGTCTAGCCAGCCCCTGAACTCAGCTGACCCACCTGCTTTCAAAGAAGGTCCTGACCATGTGGGAATAACTGGCCCTGTCTTCTGTTCTGTTTCACAGTGTCCAACCTGTCACAGTACTTCAGCCCAGCCTCTGTGTCCAACAGTCCTGCCCGGGCCCTGGTCCTGGTTGGTGTGGTCCTCCTGGCCTACTGGTTCTTGTCTCTGACCTTGGGTTTCACCTTCAGCCTCCTGCACCTCGTGTTTGGCCGCTTCTTCTGGCTCGTACGTGTCATCCTGTTCTCCATGTCCTGCGTGTACATCCTGCATAAGTATGAGGGTGAGCCTGAGCACGCAGTCCTTCCCCTCTGCCTCGTGGTTGCCATCTACTTCATGACGGGGCCCATGGGCTACTGGCGAGGCAGTCCTGGTGGCCTTGGCAGCCCCAGTGTGGAGGAGAAGCTGGAGCACCTGGAGAACCAGGTGAGATTGCTCAACATCCGCCTCAACAGGGTGCTGGAGAACCTCGACCGTTCCAAGGACAAATGAAGGTCAGGTGCCTGGCCGTCCAAGGGTGTCACCTGCAGTGATGTCAGAAGGCTACTAGAGAAGAAAACAGCCGGCAGCCCCACCCAACTCCGACCCTCCCAATAAACTGAACAAGAACGCCACGCCTGGTATTTTCCCACTGTGGGTCGACCTTAAGACCCACTGGAGGAGAAAGAACTTATGTAGAACTTAATCAGAAGGTTGCTAGTTGGAAAAACATATTTTTTAAACAATGGATATACCCCTATTAGCTGTGTAGTCAGAGAAATTTATCTGCATAGATCATAAAGTTGATTTTTTCAAACATTTAAATCTTTTGTAAGGTTTTTAAAAAAAGGCAGATCAAGTCAAGTTTATCAGAGCTTTGAAGGAAGCACTTGAAGATTTTAAGGAAGTTTAAACTGGCTCCTGGGTAAGCGCTGTGTGTGTTATCTTTTTACTTCCAAATGTGACCTTCGTTGTGTGTCTTCTGAGGCTGGTGCTGGCTGGGTTCATGAGTGCTGTTATTGTGGATACTTGGACTTCAGAGTGGAGCTGCATCATTTGGATCCCAGGGACCTGGTGCACTCCTTCCATTGTGTTCCTTTCTGTCTTTCTGGTGCTGGGGATGCTGAGCCCACCCCCACCCTGTCCATCGTGTTTCTGAATGAAGGTACCCGTAGGTGTCCTGGAATCTTTTTCTTTTCCCTAGAAAATACATAGATGGGGCTACAAAATGTCTTTGGAGTTTGATGCCAAGAACTTCCTGGATGGGCCTTGAAAATTATTCCAGAATCTAGCTGAATCTTTTTTTTTTCTTTGTTTTTCGAGACAGGGTTTCTCTGTATTGTTTTGGAGGCTGTCAGTCCAGCCCAGCCTCGAACTCACAGAGATCCGCCTGCCTCTGCCTCCCGAGTGCTGGGATTAAAGGCGTGCGTCACCACCGCCCGGCCTAGCTGAATCTTACATTCCCTGTTTGCCAGGTAGGCCCATATAGCCAGCTGGACCATGACAGGATTTTCTTATTTGTTTCATTTGCTTCTAATTGACTCAAAACCATAGAAGAAACTGTTTATGGCCGGTAACAGCTTTCATTTCATTGCTTCTAGAACATTCTTAGGCATAAGCAACCCTGATATGAATTTTTTGTCCTGAAATTTTTATGATTATGTGTGTTTGGTGCTTTTTGTCTGGGGTCCAGGGAGTTGTTCTTTTAGCTTAGCCTCAGGGACGGGGTGGGCAGAGAATTGGTCTGGAAAGAAAGCTGGCTTTTGCAGGGTGTGGCTGGGATTGCCATTGTCTCTGTGGTCCTTCAGTGTACCATGGAACCACTGAGTCCCAACTTCAGCTTAGTGGAGGGAGGTACCTGTCAGTTTTCATGGCAGACCTTGGTAGAGGGATCCAGCTGATGCCAGCTCTGGTGCCATGTGTCTGAGAAGTTCTGTTTGGGGTTGCAAGTGTCTGGAACACAGATTCGGATCTTTCTGAGGATGTGTCCAAGACCTCTGTTCTTGTTGTGACCATATGGAGCTCACACTTGCTTGAATTTCATTCACTTGTGAAACTCATACTGGGGAAGTCTCTCCATGGACATTGAACACACCTGACCTCTGGTGTGAGACATTTCAGTTATGTGTTGTTCAGATACTGTAAACAAATCTACATGCAGCACAAGGTGTCAGTAACTGGGGGAGGGTACATTGGTGGCTCACATCGCCTTTCATTCCAAGTGTCTGGCCATATCGTAACAAAAGGTTGCTTTGTAGATATTGGCTCTCAGCCCCTAAAAAACAGCATCTCTGTTCTTGCCTTGGCTCCTCTCATTGGACACAGAGATGTCCTATTTCAGGTCCTAGACATTCCACTGTAGCTCCGTGTGCAATCCCATTATTCAGGAGGCAGAGGCAGGAGCATTGCTGCTATTTTGAGGCTAGCTCAGTTTAAGTAGGATATTCCAGGCCAGCCAGGATTACATAGCAAGACCAGAAGCCAGGTTTAATGGCACATAAGAGCCAGAGGCAGGCTGATCTCTGAGTTTGAGGCCAGTCTTATCTATATAGTGAATTCCAGGTCAGTCAGAGTTATACATTGAGACCTTGTCTCAAAACAATAATGAGAAAAAAAGTTAAAAAAAAAACCTGCAATATTTTCTTCCAGCCTGACCAAATATAGATTCTAAAGCCAGTTTTATGGTTTTTTGTTTTGTTTTGTTTTTGTTTTTTAAGACAGGGTTTCTCTGTATTGTTTTGGAGCCTATCCTGGAACTTGCTTGGTTGACCAGGCTGGTCTCAAACTCACAGAGATCTGCCTACCTAGTGCTGGGATTAAAGGCATGTGCCACCACCGCCCGGCCAGTTTTATGGTTTGATATCCATAAATACAAGACACCTTCATTTTCATTTAATTATTTCTTTTAGATAGGGTCTCATGTGTCCTAAGCTGGCCTTGAACTTGCTTAAGTAGCTGAGGCTGGCCTTAAACTTTTGATCCTCCTGCCTCCACCTCCTGAGTGCAGGGATGACAGGGGTGGACCCAGGCTACACGCCTGGTAAGAGGGCACTCTAGAGTCCAGCCCCAGGATGCCTTCAGTATAAAAGGAAGAACGCACACGTCAGAGTAGAATGCACTTGAGGTTCTAGTAGTAGAACTTGAGGTGGCAGATGCACAATTACCTTGTTTGGGTTTGTTTTTGTTTTTTGTTTTTCTTAGGCAAGATCTCTCTATAGCCCTTGCTGTCCTTGAACTCACAGAGACCCACCTGCCTCTGCCTCCTGAGAGCTGGGATTGCAGGTATAAGCCCGCCATGCCTAGCCTTGTTTGGATGTATTCTTAACCCCCACCTAGTTAAAATTTTGTCTGGTTTCACCGGAAAGCTAGCGCTGCTGTGCACTTGTAGCTGCAAGGACTTTCCAAGGCGTCCTTCCTGGCCACTTTTACTTTCAGGTCCTGGGCACGTGAGCCCTATTCCCAGCATGCAAGCTGCTTTCCAAAACAATCCGTGACCATTCTACAATGCTTTTGTTTATGACCATTTAAGTACTTAGAGTTTGGGCTCCTTACCTGTGAATTGTAGAATTACATCTATCTATATCTATATTTTGCGGGTTCTAACTCAGTACTCTGAACACTGGACAGCTGCCGATGATGTGTCCTGACTGGCATCAGCAGACTTCAGCCCACTGCATCCTTCTGTGTTTTGTTCTTTGGTGACCCCTCCATAGCTAGGACAGACACAGAGAACCTGTTTTTCTGTCCTGGTGGCACAAGAAGCACACCGTTGGCATTGTCACCTGGACAGCTGTGGCTCTGATAGCATGACTGACTCTGTCCTGATGTCTCTGCGGATCTCAAGCTTTTACTGTTGTCAGTTTCCTGTCTGCGTCTGTGATAAATCTCTGAATAGCCTACAATTAAGTTACTTTCTTGTGATAGTGACCAATGTGCAGTTAAATCCCCCATGAGGTAATTATTTCCCTGTTCTTAGCTGTAAATCATATTCTTTTTTACCAATGATATCTTCATGGTTGAGTTCTTGTTTTGTGCCTCAGCTTAGAAATTTTATATAGTATTTAGTTCAACACAATAGAAAGCCATTCCGTGAACATAGTGGGGTGCGTGCACACCCGTGTGCGCGCACGCGCGCACGCACACACACACACACGCACGTGCATATACCTTAGTTGGGAAGCTGATTCTACGAATATCTTATATAGAAAAAAAAGCACCAGGCTTATTATTTTTTTGCGAAGTGATGGATACATTCCTCTTATTTATTAATCACTGGCTTTGGCTTTGATGTTAGAGGTCTTTGTTGATCGACTTAAGAACTGGATTAAAACATTGTGAACATTACAGCTTAATAAATGTTTACTGTAATTTTGTTGTTTGGATTCTTGGATGGATTTCTTCACTTTGGTAAGGCACCTGTGGTAAATCCTGTAATTAAACATTCATTTTTATTTTACATGTAGGATTGCTTTGCCTGCATGAATATATGTGTACCTTGTGTGTTTCTGGTGCTCTCAGAGGTCAGAAGAGGGGGTCAGGTCAACCCCTGGAATTGTGAGCCACCATATGTGTGCTGAGAAGTGACCCAGGTCATCCACAAGAACAGCAAGTGAGATAACGAGAGATATAGTCTAAGGCGTGGTTACTAAATGCTTGGAGAATTAAGAAAGTGTTTCTTCCTTGTATCATGATTTAAAAAAAAAAAAGAGAACAGCAAGTGATCTTAACCACTGAGCCCATCTCTCCTGTTCCAAAGATTAATTTTTAAAAAAGATTTATCTATGTGTATGAGTGTTGAGCTTGCATGTTTTGGCTCTGTGTAATGTGGTCCCCTCAGAGCTCAGAAGAGGACATGGATCCTCTGGAACTGGAGTGACACATGGATGTGAGATACTGTGTGGGTGCTGAGAAACAAACATGGGTGTCTTCAAGAGCCGCCAGTGCTCTTAACCACCGAGCCACCCCTCCAGCCCCATCGAGTAGGATCTCACTATGTAGCCCTGATTGTCCTGGAACTCACCGTGTAGACCACTGAACTCCACCTGCCTCTGCCTCCCGAGTGCTGGGATTAAAGGCATGCACCGCCACTGCCGGACTATTTTAAAATTATGTTGAATTTTCCTCTCATATGTTTGGAGTTGCCTGCAGAATCCTGAAGAGGGGATTGGATCCCTTGGAGCTGGAGTTGCGGGTGGTTGTGAGCCACCTCAGGTGGGTCCTGGGAGCTAAGCTTGTGTCCTCTGGAAGAGCAGCGCATACGGCAGCAGTAGCAGCAGAAGTGCTTCCGAAGCGTTGCAGAGCGGTTGGGGTGGAAAGCACAGGAGAAAAAGAGGGATCCACTGTGAAGATTTAAGACAGCACACTGGGACACTGGGAGCCTTGTAGCTGGGAGGATTCTGGAAGCTACTAAGCATTAAGGGCCAACCCTGTGGTTGTCAAAAATCCTGGGGTGGCATTTCTGGCCTCTTTGGCTTCAGCTAGTGATGACAGCAGGCAGGTGGCGCCCTCTAGCGTTGCAGGGCTCAGCTTCAGGAACTGTAACCCAACATGTGCTCCATTATAAAGGTCTAAACTTAAAATGTTTAGACCCTGGACCACACCCTTGGCCTTGAAGGCATGGCTGCTCTCAGTGACCAGAGTCTACAATCTCTAATTTTCTAGCTTTTTACCTATTTATATTCTTCAGTTATGTGAGACCCTGTCTATTTTTTAATATTTATTTATTTGTTATGTATACAGTGGTCTGCCTGCATATATACCTGCAGACCTGAAGAGGATACCAGATCTCACTATGGATGGTTGTGAGACACAATGTTGTTTTGTTTTTTTGAGACAGGGTTTTTCTGTGGCTTTGGAGGCTGTCCTGGAACTTGCTCGTGTAGACCAGGCTGGTCTCAAACTCAGAGATCTGCCTGCCTCTGTCTCCTGAGTGCTGGGATTAAACGTGTGTGCCACCATCGCCCTGTGGGTTTTATGTTTTGAGACAGGAAGTTACTCTGTAGCTTTGACTGGCCTTGAGGTCTACCCTCAGGCCTCCTGCATACTGTGATTAAAGGCATGCACCACCACCACAATAATACTTATTTAAGACAATTCTTTAATAGCTTACCCCATCCTTAGGTCCCAGGGAGGGATGAGTCCCTCTTACCTGTCTCAGTCTCAGCCTCTGCACTGCGACACTTGTCAGGAACTAAGGACCGGACACTCGAGGCCCTTGAAAGCTGAAGTGCTTGAAGGCACCACGTCCTACTGTTGCTTGGTGGAATGTTAACGACACATACGCACACTCACACTACCATGCTGCCACTGCCTTCTGCTACCAGAAGAGGATAATGAAAGCCACCAAGTTTGTGGCTAAAACCCAGTCACAGCCTTTACCTTGTGAGCCTCAGGCCTTAAGTCTCTAGCTTCTAAATGGTTTGTCTACCATGAGCTGGCCCAGCCCCTGAGCCTTGGGCACTCCTAGGAGGGAGACCATCAGACCAGAAAAGTATCTCTTCACCTACCCTCCACTTGTAAGTCAGTAGTGCTGATGGACCCACTGCCTCAAGTGACTCTCCAAGGTTGGGCGACAGAGTGAGTTCCAGGACAGCCTCAAACAATACAGAGAAACTCTGTCTAGAAAAAAAAAAGCATTTTCTGAAGTGACTCTCAGAGCAGTCTGACTCCCAGAAACTGGGGACAGTTGCTCATTCCCACAGGACCATCTGTACAGTTCCAGAATCTAGAAATGTCTTCAGCCTACGATAGTCCACAGAGATAACAAGAGTCAAACTATCCTTAAGGCCAGTCAGTCCTGGCTGGACCTGGGCTACGGTGCTGGGAAGTGTTGCCTGGTGTGGGTGGAATGCTTCTGGCGGTTTTGCCTGCATGGGGGGAAGTGGGTAGGTGAAGGGAGACATGCTAGGGTACCTGCTTTGCAGGCGATCAGGATGGCAGCAAAGGTGGTCATTCTGTGCTGCTCTGAGTCATGGTAGAGCCCTGTGTCTCTCTCAGCTCCCCCTGACTGAGCTTGTACAAGGCTCTGGGAAGAAGGGATTGTCTTTGTCGGTAAAGAAGAAAGCCTAGCCTCCTGGAGGTTGAGATACAATCTGAGCAAAAAGTGGTTAGTTCTTCCTGAACTAGCTCCCAACAGCTCTCATCCACAGCACATTCCTGCAGGCAGGACAGAATTTCACCCCTTTTCATGCCAGGACAAAGTGGCACTTGAGGCTATTTTGTTAGTTTAATTTGTTTATTTTTTGATAAGGTCTCACTAGGTAGCCAGAGCTGGCTTTGAACTCAATGCATGGAGCACATTGACCCCAGTGGACATACTCCATCTCAGCAATAAATAAACAAAATCACAGGCCCTTCAGATCTATTTTGTGTCAAGCCAATACACCTGTTTGGATCAGCTGGAATGGGGAGGGAGAAAGCCAGGGCACCTGATTTCACTGGGGTTCGCTTAAGGGCTCCTGCCTGTGTTTACTAAAGTGCCATGCAGAGGGGACTGTATATGAAGGCTGCCATTCATGTTCTACAGAGCCTCAATGTCACCTCACCTTATCCTGTCCGAAGCAATCCCCTACTCATGTGACCCAGCCACTGTTTGTGCTGCAGGCCCCTGTGCACGGTTCCCTGGACCTTTATGTAAAGCATTGGGCTGGGAGGTTTCCCCAAGGATCCACGGTCCCTGTGCATGGGCTTGCCCCTGTCGCGGCTCAGCACGCACATCTGAGCACACAGATAGCTAGAATTTTTTTTGCTCTGGGATGTAGGTCAGTGGTACATTGCTCGCCTAGTATGCAAGAGGTAAGACATGCCAGGATGTTCAGGAGTTAAAGACCAGCCTCAGCTACATATCGATTTTCAGGCCAGCTTGGGTTGCATAAAATCCTGTCTCAAGAGCTGGGCGGTGGTGGCACCTTAGTCCCAGCACTCGGGAGGCAGAGGCAGGAGGATCTCTGTGAGTTCGAGACCAGCCTGGTCTACAAGAGCTAGTTCCAGGACAGCCTCCAAATCTGAAGCCACAGAGAAACCCCATCTCGAAAAACAAAACAAAACAAATCCTGTCTTAAAAAAAAAAAAACATTGGGGGGGGGTTGTACTCCTGAGTCGACTTCTCACCATGTCTTCTCACAAGACTTTCAGAATCAAGCGATTCTTGGCCAAGAAACAAAAGCAAAATCGTCCTATTCCTCAGTGGATTCGGATGAAAACTGGTAAAATCAGGTACAACTCCAAGAGACAACACTGGAGGAGAACCAAGCTGGGTCTCTAAGAATTCACACAATGGCAAGAATTGAGAGTTTGCACTGAATCATGGTCAACGCAAGCTGTGCTACCAGATGAAGTTTAACATTTTTAACCTGGAGATTTTGTCATATTTAAGTCGGGAATGATTTGTCCAGTAATAAAAAATATAGAGCCTTTCAAAAAACATTTTGGGGAAAGGGGAAATATGATCAAAATATAGAAATTATGAATATATTGTATGGAAATTTTTTATAAACAAATTTGGAGAAACAAAAAGCATCTCTATTTTAAAAAGAAAAGCATTTTCTCAGAATCTCGGGCGTCAACCCAGGGCTAAGATCTAGGTTTCATAAGTTTCCGGACTCTAGGGGCTGTCAGGTTGTCAAGGTGACAGACAGCCCTGCCTAACCTCCCGGGTCCCTGGGAGCTCCGCCCTTCTGCCCAGCTCTCATTGGGCACGCCCTTTCCGAGATACCCTTTCGGATTGGCTGAGAGGCGCAGCCCACGCACCGGAATGCTGTGTGATTGGCTGCCGTTCAGGCCGGCTCTTTGCCGCGCCTCGGTCTGGGCTGATGTGGGGCCAGTCCCGTACCAGCCAATCAACAAGCGAGTCGCGTGTGGCGCGTGTCCGTGTACAGGATCCCTCCGCCGGGATGCGGCAGGGGCGTGGCCAGTCCGGCTGGAAAGCAGTTCCTCGTGGTTGGAAAGAAGCTCCTCGTGGCTAGTAAGAAGTTCCTCGTGGCTAGTGCAGAGCCTGAGATGCTCCGCGACCGTGGTTCCTTTCCCAGAGGCAAATAGGGCTGCGGGAGTAGCTCTGTGGCAAAGCACCCGAATCCCGCGCTGGGTTCCAGCCCGGCACCTCTCCAGAAAGAGAGAGACGCTTGGAAACTGAGCACCGGGGAATTGGAGGCAGGAGCATCAGAAGTTCAAGGTTATCCTGGGCTCCCTGAGACTGAATATCAAAACCAAAAACACCTCTAGAGGATGCCAATAAGAGAAACACAGGAATGGGTGTGGTGTCACAGGCCTGTAGTCCTACCTACTTGGGAGACCGAGACAGGAGGCGCACAAGTTCAGGGCCAGCTTGAGCAATTCTGGAAGAGCATTCTTCTTCATTCTGCACCTGCTTC